TCTTCATAAAGTATAGTCTCTTAGCTGCCTTTTTTTGTGATGTACTCAGTGTTCGTTTTCCATTTAAGGTCATCGTCGAACCAGATACCCAGTAGCTTGTACGATCTTACTTTAGTGAGAGACTGCTCCCCTAATGTAGTTAGGGGTATAACCGTTTTATTCTTACGAAAGTCGATGTGCATTTCTTTGCATTTTTTAAAATTCAGTTGCATATTTTCGTCGTTCGTAAATTGTAATACACTCTCCAAATTACGTTGGGAGTTGCCGATCGATTCTCCAGAGATATGATCGGAAACGTTTAAAACTTCAGACATGGTAGTGTCATCCATAAACATTGAAACAGTATCACTGTTCTCATCATCAGATGACTGAACCACTGATAGGAGATCGTTTATATGAACTATGAAGGCTAAGGGACCGATTTTACTACCTTGTGGCACCCCACCTTTAATATATGCAGGGTCGGAGAAAGTGTTTCCGACTTTTGTAACTTGCGATCTGCCTTGGAGGTATGACCCGAGCCAAGCTAGCAATGCTGGTCTAACACCTATTTTCTCGAAGTTCTGGAGTAACTTATTGTGGTCAATTAGGTCGAACGCTTTTCGAAAATCCAGGAAAATTATTCTCACCACATTCCCATGGTTCTCCATAGCCGAATACCAGTTGTGTGCAAGACAGACAAGTGCTAAGACTGCCGAAAAACCTGGCAGTCCTCCAAATTGAGCTTCGCTCACTTTTCCTTTTATATCTTCACGTACCCACTCAACCACATACGACTCTTGAACCTTGGATAGGACACTAGTGAGAGAGATTGGACGCAGGTCTTCAACATTCGAACAAGGCGTAATCTTCGGAATCGCGCAGACTGTGTAAAATTTCCAAATTTGGGGAAATATTCTTGACATGAATGATTCGTTGTATATATCGGCCAAAGGGATAGCAAAATATTTCGCGAACATCTTGATCAATTTCATGTATGGGTCGTATGGACCGGCTGCCTTCCCGACGGTAAGATCACTTAGTCTTTTGGCAACATTTTCATCAGTAATTGTTGGGAGGGGTCTAGTTCACCCCGTGATAGCCAATCTCCCCGTACTTCCGAGAAGTCGTTTGTAAGAGTTGAGAAGAATGAATTTATGTGATCAGCCGTTTGCTTATTATTCATTGGTAGTTCGGAGATGGGGTCAAGAAGCGTTGGTGAGGTATTTCTCTTCTTTCCAACGATATCGTTTATGTTATTCCACCATATTTTAGGATTTTGTCGATAAGTTGGGAGCATTTTTTCTTCATAAAATTTTCTTTTGCTCACGCGAATCTCCGATACAATTTGGTTTCGAATAGTCTTGAAACGAATGTATTTACCGCTCTTGTAGGCTTTGTTTCGTTTACTAATCAAACTTTTAATTTTTCCAGTTATGAAGGGTTTGTCTTTATCATGTGCTTTAATTATCTTTGTCGGAAAATAAAAGTCAATAATGTTATGGGTTATTTCCAAAAAACTATCGACCTTGTTATCTACGTTATTTTCAGAAAGAACTGGTAACCATGAACTGGTAACAATGTGGGCCGCACAACATTGTTCAATCCTGTTTTCATCAATATTGCAGCAACCTGATCGTTTTTAGCTGTGTAACACGATAATTTTATTAAGAATATTTTTACAATTGAAAAATCCCCTAAAAATATCACAATTTTAGACTTTATACATAATGATGTAACTGCGAGGCTTGATGCCCGCGAGGAATGCTGGTCTTAATAGTCATCGCCCGGGACAATTTCGATATTGGCCATTTTGAATTGTTTAATTTTCCCGGGCGATGACTACTAAGACCAGCATTCCTCGTGGGCATCAAGCCTTGTGACGTCATTATGCATAAGGTCTATTTAATGAATTATACTGAGAAAACAATATATCAATAGTTTAAAATTTACAAACTTACCTTCGTTAACGTCGGCACCTTTGCTCCCTTCTTTTAGCAATTCTTTCACCTTTTTTCTCAGCAAGCTTTTGAAATTTACAAAATCTTGCAAAAATGAAATATATTTGCAAGAAATCATCAAATCAAGAAACATTTGCTCTTTCGCTGTCGAGTGGGTGGGGCGTTTTGTGAAATATATCTAAAAAGTCGGTCCCGAATCCTGTATGGGACGAAAAAAGTCGGTCCGGCTAAAATCTGAAAGACATCATTTTGTGTCGAAAAAAGAAATAGGTGGACATTTTGGAAATGGAATCTAACAAAATTAGGCGACTTTTTGTGGTTGTAACTTTTCTTCCAACCTCATCCTAAAATACGTGAAATAGCGTTCTAATGAATCTAGAAATTCAAAATTTTTCTCGCGCCTTCGGCGCTCGCACTCGAAATCCATAAAAAATGTTGGCTCCCCGAACGTTTAGAGCAGAAGTTCTGAAAAACTAAACGTTTATTTAAACTCTTGGAATACTATCCCTGTCTATGAGTCCATCCGCAATTTTGGAGGAGTCTACGTTCTAATAAATCGAAGCGAGGTTACCGAGGTATGTGGCAGTGTATAGCATTTATACACATGGATAGCCGATTACATCCGCATCGAGTGAACACGCAGCTTTTCGAATTCGAAGCTTAGGGACCGGTCATAAAGTAGAGGGGGGGGTGGGCTATGAAAATTGATTTTTTAAAGACTGGTTTACAGTGACCCACCCTCAAATTGTGACAATAAATTGAGGTGGCCCACCCCTAGATTAGAGCAGAAATCTTAGTGACCCCCCCCCACCCCGTCATGTAGATAATGTACTGTACGGTAATGTAGATAGGTGCGCGTACGTTGGCAGCATTGGCTTACCACGATTCTTTACTAGTTTAGTCAGAATCCCCGAAAAATCTCCGAGATTGAAATGTTGTAACACGCCGCCCGACTCTTGAACATAATTCAACTATGTCCAAACATAATGCATGACAGTACATTCAGGGCCGTAGGAAGCTCTTTTCGATTGGGGGGGCTGAAAGCGAGGGCCGAAGGCCCGAGGAAATTTTTAAATTTAGAGTCTCTAAAATGCCATTTCCTGGACTTTGGGGGAAGATTTAACAGAATTCTGATAGTCAGAAAACAGCGTTTTAGTATGTCGAAATTTACAGGAAAGTATGGGCCAGACTGTAGTATTATAAATGCGCGGCGGGAATTTTCGTCGTAAATGGCAGTTGCGCGGAAATGAAGGCAGAACATTTGAGAAAATTTCGAAAATCTGGAGTCTCTAGATGGTCTGAAATGGCATTTTCAGAGTTTTCTTTCGCAAGACCCAACACGCAAAAGACAAAATAAATCATTAGTTCATCAAAAATGTGCAGATTTTGTGGGATTTTCTTGAAAATGCGCGACAGAAATTCAGCTAAAATTTCTACGCGAGGAACGATCTGGAGTATGAGTAATATCTTCATTCTTTGCAGTTTGTCACAGATTAAATGATAAAGTTTGCATGATTTTGAAAAAAGAATGATTATTAGCAAATTATTGGGGGGGCTGCAGCCCCCCAGCCCCCCCCCGGTTGCTACGGCCCTGACATTGAGTAGACTACGGTAACTAGAACACTTCCCAATGTACTGTATACAAATGTGAATTCCTGTTGTCTAATCAGGGGCGAAACTTGAGGGGGGGGTGTGGGGGGGGTGTTACACCACCCCAAAATACGAATCGTCCCGATTGGCAGGGCAATCAAAGGTCTCTTATAAATAAATGATAGCACATAGGCGTACCGGGCGGGGGCAATATTCGATCGGGGAGGTCGCCAAAATAATTTTTCCGGAAAAAATTTTTTGGTACTTTTTGGCAGGGCATCACTGGTTTTGGCAGGGCAATTCTGCCAGACACCCCCCTAATTAAAAGGGGCTAGTTTCGCCCCTGTGTTTAATATATAAAGTTAATAGGTTAAAGAGATTTCGCAAAAGTTTATTTGCTATTTATTAAATTGTGAGACGTGAATAATTTTACCTGACCCACCCCTAATGCAGTGCATAAATTTTCCTGACCCACCCTTTTCGACGTGTTGAAAAATAGTGACCCACCCCCAATTTTTCATAGCCCACCCCCCCCCTCTACTTTATGACCGGTCCCTTATTCAAATTTTTAATTTCAATTGGCACCAAAACTTCTTCAGGTCTCCAATTGTTTTTTAAAATTGGACATTTTTTAATGATATTTACAGTAACTACTAAACTCAAAAGGCAAAAATAGAGAGTTTATCATGTTTTCAATTCCTGAGAGTACTGGCAAATTTATTTTATTTTTTTAGAAAAGTTTAATTATTGTGCATTTGATGAGTCAAAGAATTAGAAAACACTATTACACAAAGTCAAAAGTAATACTTTATTATAACAATAGAATTATTTATACAATAGTGAGTGCAACTATATTTAAGATTATAAAATCTACTTAGGGTTTCCCAAAGCAGTTTTAAAATTCAGCTGATTATCAATGACCTATGCTGTTAATAATTACAGTAATTTGGCAGTTTGATTGCTTGGATTAAAAACAAAAGGTCTAGGACTCAACAGAAAGAAATATTTCTTAACATCAAATATTAAAGATAGTTTGAAGCATTCATACAATTGAAGGTTTTAGAAAGTTTGATTATCAACTACATTTACATAAAGCAATATCAATTATGTTATATACAGGGTGTCTCAAAAAAACCCAAAATCATTGAAATTGACGTATTTGTTCGATATTCAATGCCCTAGCACTAAGTTAATCCCACGAGTGCATAAAAGATTGACATAACTGCTATAATGAATGGTAATACTCAGCGTAAACTTGTTACGTCAGGCATAAAGTACTAAACCCACGAATTTACGAAGCATTTTTAAATTCCCATGAGCAAACAAACGTTCACTTTACAAAGATATTTTAATTTTTTAAAACAAATTAATCACCCTGTCAAAATCCTTTGTGTTACGGCATTGAAATTCGAACAATACGTTATTTCAATGATTTTGGGGTTTTTTTGAGACACCCTGTATATTGCCTGCGAATATATTAAGTTGCAATTATTCTTCTCTAGCTTCTAACACATTTTAATCTTGATGTGATTCCATGGAACTATAAAATAATATATATGTTGTATGTATGTAATAAATATACAAATAGTAAGGAGTAAGAACCATTTTTGGTGTCAATGTTTTATATATTGACTATTTAAGATTTTAAGTCTATTTTTGCCATTGATAAACTGTGACTAAAATATGTTTTTCAGTGTCGCTGTCTTTTACAAAAGAATATGCAAATACATTCACAATTTTGCCATGAAGCAATGGCGATGGCTCAAAATGTTTTATTTGGAATTGGTGGAACTATATTTATATATACATCAACAATGATGGTTTGTCCATAGGGTTTGTCCTATGGGCGCCCTTCATACGGGTCGACAAATATTGATATTTTCGAAGAAAAAAATTAAATTCTGCCTACCCGTTATTCACAATATGAAGCTCCAACGATCTGGCATCATTTACAACAAATTGCACACTTGAAAAACCAAAATTGACTGCATAAAAGAGGATTTATTGTCAACTTTGTCCATTTCCGCAATACAAAATATACAAATTATCACGCTCCGTGGGAACGACCAATATGGCCGCCGCACGTAAACTGCGACTGCGATCAGGCTTCAATTTTCGCCTGCCTACAGGGTGGGATGCGCTATCTAGTGTATATGAGATATCTGTGGTTATGACGCGGTCAATATCTGCGTCGTCATTCTGTGCTGTCTTCAAATCTATAGATGCTTGGTTTAAACTAACATCCGCTCGAGTAATGTCAGGAGGAAAGAGCAAAGGTGTTTGAAACTGCTCGACCTGTACTTTTGCTCCACAAACAGTTGCTTGGAAAGCGTCGCGATTAACCTCTTCACTGCATGCATTCATATAATCATCAATATTCATAGGCATTCTGGACAATGCATTGGCGTCTCCATTGAGTTTTCCTGGACGATAACAGATGTTGAACTTAAAGTCGGCCAGTTCTCCAATCCATCTTAAGCCTGTGGCATTAAGTCCTGCAGATGTTAAAACGTATGTTAATGGATTGTTATCGGTAAATTCAGGCGCGTAATATAAATAATCACGGAAGTGGTCGGCGATTGCCCATTTGAGTGCCAGAAATTCTAATTTTTCCGCGTGGAGGTGATAGTTCTTTTCTACATTCGTCAGACTCCGGGAGGCGTACGCAATGACTCGCATTGTCTCTTCCTGTTCCTGGTATAAGACAGCACCTAGACCGTCTTTCGAGGCATCAATGTGCACGATGTAGGGTTTTTGATAATGCCAAATTGGATATGCCAAAACCAGAGGTATTATCAGATGGTCAATGAGTTTCTCTAACACAGTCTGATGTATCTCAGTCCACGCGATTTTGAATGATGATGGCACTTTACCTTCCTTTCTGGTGTTTTTGTTACCGTTCTCTTGATCATGACACGGGTCTGTCGTTGCTGCTTGTGTAACAAGGTCGTATAATGGTTTAGCCTTTCGCGCGAAATTGGATACATAACGACGATAGTAACTGAGTAATCCAAGCATTTTCCGAAGATCTCCTATTGTATGAGGAATATTGTTCTTTAGACTCGCAACTGCGTTAATGTTCTCGGGATCCATTCTGTAGCCATCTTTCGACACCACTCGACCGAGGAATGTGACCTCACGTTTGAACAATTTACATTTTCTTCGCTTTAATTTGACACTGTGTTCTCTTAGGCGACGTAAAACTGTTCGTAAGTGTTCGACATGTTCGTCGAATGTTCTACTAAATACGATCACATCATGCGAATAAGGAATGGCAATTTCATCACGTAATTCTCCTAAACACTGTTCCATGAATCTCTGAAAACTCCTGGGGCGTTCATAAGACCGAATGGAATTCTTACCCATTCATATAACCCCCAGGGTGTCACAAATGCTGTTAACGGTCGGCAGGACGGTTTCACAAATCCTTGATGATACGCCTTACCCTGATCCAATACACTAAACCAAGCGTTACTACCTAAACTATCGAGAGTTTCTTGGACGCGCGGAATAGGATGCCTATCTGGCACTGTCTTACGGTTAAGTTCTCTATAATCGACACAAAGTCGCAGAGTTCCATCCTTTTTGCGAATACATACTACTGGGGATGAATAAGCTGATTTTGACTCTCTTATAAACTCGTTATTTAACAAATCTTCAATGCACTGTTTTACTTCGGGGTAGAGAGGTCTTGGTACCGATACATAGTTCTTTTGCACTGGCTCGTTTGTTGTCAAATTTATTTCTAGTTCTAGATCTTTGATATAACCGATATCCTCATCATTTCTTGCAAAAGAGTGACATTCTTCCTTCAACATGTTAGTAACCACTTGACGTTGACGTTCTGTTAATCCACTAAGGTCAACTTCAGGTAAAAACTGGTCATCATTTGTATTGTCTCGTTCTCGAGTTTCCTTCGTCATTGCATTGACTTGGGATTGTGTGGCTGTTACTGTTCGTCTTTTTCTTTGCTTGACTTTTCTGCCAACTTCACTTCTACAGGTGTAATCGATTTAATTAACTGAAGACTTCCTAATACTGTGTGTTTACGCACGACAATGTCATGTTTAGTAGCATTAGTCACATCAATCTTTACTTGAGACGTTGACCCTTGTTTCACTGTTGTTACCGTTTCGTGCACCGATAAACCGTCTGGCTAGGGCGTTAATTCGTCCGGTTCAAACAAAACAAGTGTAGTTTCTTCTACCGGTCCAGTATTCGCTCGACAGTTAACTTTAAATGTTTTCTTTCCGGAATAACAAAGTCTTTCTTTGGGCTCTTAATCGTGCATAGTTTATTTGCTCTTGCTGTCTGTATCAGTCTAACCAATTCGAGTAACACTTTCTCATCAAAACCTTAAAAACTAGCTTGTACTGTAGCAATATGTGCTGACTGAATATCAGATGTATTCATCGGCTTGATTAGTTCTTCAATGACATTGTATCCAAGAATGGAATATTCTAAACTGTCGTTTGTTACTAAGAAAGGAACCATAACCTATGGATCCTTTTCTTTTGATGAAATCAATCTAACTTCTATCTCAGTCCAACCAATATACCCAATTCGTGTACCATTAGCTGCTGTTAAATCCAATTCACCATTAATAAGTTCTGAAATGTTCTTTATAACATTTTTAGGAAAATGTTTTTCCATAATTTCTTTGGACGCGATGGATACTTGTGCACCCGTATTCCATAATACTGTTGACTCAAATTCATTTAGAGAACACTTTACAGTGCACCGTCTTCCTACTAGCTTAGCAATCTTTGCATGCTCACTAGGAGTTAGGTGACTGGTAAATGTCTTATTATTGCTGCGTGTTTTGTTTTAACATGTCCGTGTGAGGTCCTGAAGAGTTTTACAATTGTTCCTATGATCATTCCGGTGTCTTTTCTGGCAATTTTTTGAACAATAAACTATACATTTGCATTGTGAACAACGGTACAATGTCATTTGATCATCGTCCTTGCCACAATAACTACATCTTTGGGACCGCAAACTTATTTCGGCTACTTCTGGCCCCGGAGAGGCAGCCTCCTGGAGTTTAAAGTATTCTTTCCACGATTCTGTCGACATCCAATTGCAAAATGATTGTCACTTCCACAAATAAAACAATGAGAGCATTTGTCATTTCCACTAGTTTGGCACTGCAAGCATTTTGGCGGCGTATTTCTTCTCTGGTTTCTAGTGTCTACTGGCGCAGGCAAATTTGGTAATCGAGCTTGTTCAGTTTCTTGGTTGATATCTTTCAACTGACTCTTAACTTGTGCAACTTCAACTTTCAGTGCTTCCAGAGTCTTTATAATTTTATCTAGGGACTCAGCTTTCTCTGCTACCTGGGAAACCTGGGCATGCTTTGGGCGGTTCAAATTCTGGTTTCTTAATTTTCTTACGCGTTCATTCTCTGTCGACACTGCATTATTCACTTGCAAAATAAGCTCCTCATCGGATATTGTGGGGTTTTTGAGGTACCCCCAAACCCTTAATCTAACATTTTCATCTTGAAGGCCAGTTCCAACAGTACGTAGAAACAGCTTTCGAATATGATCATTTTCATAAACCAAAGTGTCCTCACTTTGATCTTGAGTGCTTGAAAACAGGATTTTCTGGCGTAAATCCAAGGCACGCATAAGGAATTCTTGTGGTGTTTCCTTTGACCCTTGGCATATTGATGCAAGACTTTGATATAGCTCAGTTGCACTTTTTACATCATAATGGTTTCGAAGAATTTTTCGTAACCGCTCTAGAGATAGATCCTTGTAAGTTTCTACATAACTTCGAAGAACCATTCCACCATTAATTGCATAAATAACACCGTCCACAATTTCCTGTTCTGTGTACCCGTTTAACCCCAGTGTCAATTTGTGTTATCAAGGATGGGAAACTGAACTTGTCTTTCTCATTTGGCTGTCCAATTTGTCCCACAATCTTAAATTGTCGATGAAATACACTTGTAGATTCTAACATACCTTGTAATGTGCTTTGACGTTGTTTTGTTTACAGAGGTACTGATTCTGAAACATCTTTTTCTTTTGGTTCTGTGCTCTTAAAGTAACGTGAGCGAAATTCTGTCAAGAATAACATTCGTTGTTCCTCGTTTTTGTCCATCAATTCTTTATCAATATGGTTAAAAATCATGCAAACAATTGTACTTTTCCTTTGTTCGAGAATTATCAAGTTTAAAATCCTTTGCCATAGCCTGGAGCGTTTCTTCGGGTGCTTTAATTGGCAAACTGTTGTTTGCATCTCTATTTCTAGTTCTTCAGCCATAATCGCCAGCAAATCACCAAAGGCAAAGATAAAAATACGAAAATCAAGAATTAAGAACGGCGTAAAAATCATACTTTTTCCTTCACATTCACAGCTTCTTTTATGCATAAAAGTCTCGGTGGGACCTCCAATTTGTTGCCCGCTCACTAAATTCTCGATCTATCCCATAATTCACGTATTAAAACAGTAGAAAGCACAATTTATTTCGTAAAACAATGTGAACATTAATAACAACGTGGTTGATTAATCGTCATCTTGAAAATCTGTTTGTCTGTCCTTTCTCGTTACTATGGTAACTGTCACAACTGCATGATGCAATATATAGTTCCTATTTAACTACTGTTACATGGCGTATTGCTAATGGGCATCTTACATATTCACTGTGCAGTTAGTTCCTGAAAATTTTGACATATTAATTAATTCTAATATTAGCTCAAAACGTCAATGTTGACACCATGACACAAAAAAAGACCGTAATTACTTAACACACAATCAGAAGCTTGAATTCGGTCAAAGTGGTAGCAAGAAATATTATTCAAGTTATTCCTTTCATATTTAATCGAAGAAGCCAGTAGAGCCCTTGGTTCGAAATATGTATCAATATCTCCTTGATGTCGCGAAATGATGTGATGAAAACAAGCTTTTAATTAATCCATCAAGAAACAATTTCCTAATTGTTCGATCAAGACAATTACGGCAGAATTTGGAAATCGAGCCTAATCTCCCCTTTCTAGGCCGAAGAACTCATTGCATCGTTTTTTTTCTTATAACTTAGGACTAATGCGGATTCACTCCGCAATGGTGGTTTCAACGTCCATGTCAAAGTTTTGCCAAATTTATTGGCTCAAGGATTGTTTCAACATGGACACTTTAAAAAAAATAGAGAGTAGTTGGTCCACGGACGTTCTGGGTTCTTGAAAAAGACGACAAGTGAGCAACGCGTGGTGAGGTCGAGACCCAGTGAAGGATGCATCCAGATTGTGGTGGAAACATTAAAGGCATACACGTCTTACGATGGTTCACGAAGAGGTACGAAGGTATACGAGAACGACGTTTACGATAAAACGAAGAAACCTCAAGAAAGACAACCGCGGGAAGCAACTTTATTCATTTTTTAACGTTAATATTAAATTTGGGCCGAGTTTTAAACATGTGATTTGAGAGCTCTCGTAAAATCCACTTGAAGGGTCAAAAAGGTCGTCGCGAAATGGCTGACGAACTCACATGTTGACAGGATAAAAATCAACCACACATTGGAATCGTCACAAAATTAAATGCTCCCTATTTTAGATTTATGAATCCTAATGAAGTAAGTAATAGAATAGTAAAAGTTTCACAAACTCTTGAGAGGAAAAAACATCGCTTGCTAGCATGGTAGTTTCAGTATTTAGTCGCAACATTACAACTTGCCGACTTGGATATTGAATCAGCTATATCACGTTATAAACAGTTCTCCTAGTCCAGCGGATATGCACAGATATTTGAGAAAATCATGCACTTTGTGAAGAAAGCACCAAATTCACAGGAAGTGTAGACTTTAATATGATAATGAATCTTAGATATGGAGGCATCACTAAAATTGATGCTGACGGCTTAATATTTAGGATTTCTTATATTCTCTTATTAATCTCTTATACAATTAAAAATTGTGAAATTGCAGGTTCACACATAGCAAAAATGACATGCGTCATTAGAAAGCTTACAAAAAACTGCATATAAGACATTTAAGGTTACAGAACACCTTTGAGTGTTAATTTTGCCTAAAATTTTTTTATTGGTTTTCATGAAAGCATTAGACTAGTTCTACTGACCAAGTTTGAACGAAAAATGTTGAAAACTCGCAGAGTTATTTAATTAAATACATTTCGCTGCAATAAGAAAAACATTGAAAATGTAATATTCAAATTGAATTTTCTCCCGAAAAACTTTACGGTAATTACTGATTTTCAAACGAGTTGTGCTCCTGCGGGTTTTAACTAATTTTTCACAAATTTTCACAGAACGTAGCTAAAGACGTCAGTTTCAAAATTGTGTTCGGCTTTTTCTAATTTTGGATATTTTAATAATAAAGAGCAATTCACTCAAACAATTCAGAAATATATTGCAGTCGTCAAAAAAATCGCCATATCAGCGGAATGACGAAATAAACAAAAATTTCCAAACACCATTTTTTAGAACAACTATTTTACTGAATAAAAATTATATTTTCATAAATATATCTTAAAACCAGCAGGAGCACAACTCAAAAGCGTAACGGTACCGCGATTTAAGATTTTCCTGTCAGTGAATAATTCTTACATTATTTTATTGTTTGTTAATTTTACAACTTTACCATATTTTGCATACACTGGCGAACATTTGGTGAAAATTTGATTAAAATCGGACTGATATTGAGCGCGCAGTAGCAGTTTTCCGCAAAACGCCAAAAAGGGTGTCCTGTAACCTTAAGCAGTTACTTTGATTTTCCAACTCCTCTGGAGTTATGAGCGGTTGAAAATATGGTTTAGGGCTAGTGCCAGGACTTTGGCGGGATTTTTGGCTATTTATCACGTTTTTAGATAGCAATAACTGGAAAACCGCTTGGAAAATCAATCAGCTGTTTAAAAGTCTTATATGTAGTTTTTTGTAAGCTTTCTAATCATGCAAGTCATTTTTGCTATATGTAAACCTGAAATTTCACAATTTTAAACAATAATAGAGTTTAATAAGAGAATATAAGAAATCCTAAATTTTAAGCCGTCAGCATCAATTTTGGTGATGCCTCCATATCTAAGGGCCTGTTCATATGATCCCGCTTACCGGGACGTCTCGCTTACCGATGATCTCGCCGCCTATCTATTTTCCTATAAAATTTTGCATTGTGTTCATATGAGAAAGCGAGCTGGCCCACTTGCCGAGATCTCGTTTGAATTTGCCGAGATCATAAGTAGGCGGGATGAAAATTTTTCCATATGAACACGCCAGCCCGCTTACCGGGATGAAGTGAAACAAGTCTTGCCGGTTTAATTTAACACTTTTTACTTGGTTTCATGTTTGTTTTGTAAACAAGTATTAAATAACCACCTGAAGCAATACTTTTTCTTGTAAATAAACGAAGAAAAGCACTAAAATCGCCAAGTATTTGTGTTGCTTGACTGAAATGTAGAAGTTTTGCATATGCTATTAATTATAGAACTTCAATGTAATTTCACTCGGCAAGCGGGACGAAATACTCCATATGAACGCACGGAAATATTCGTCTCGGTAAGCGAGACGTCCCGGTAAGCGGGATCATATGAACAGGCCCTAAGATTCATTATCATGTTAAAGTCTACACTTCCTGTGAATTGTGTGCTTTCTTCACAAAGTGCATGATTTTTTACTTTTCCGCTGGCCTATCCTCTCTAAAATTGCAACAGATAGTCACAATTTACCTTTAGTACTTGTACTTTATTTGAACCAGGCCAGATACTGGAATCAGACAAATTAAGCTGTTTTACGTACATATTTCCCACTAACTTTGGTCAATAGTATAAACGTCGCTTTGTAAACAAAAGGTGAAGCATATCGTGTTATGCACAGAAACCCAATCTTCTGACAGTTGAAATTAGATTCCTTACTGCATGAAAGTAGAAATCATGAAATTGAAAGCGATTGCAGTATTGTGGTGGCAAAAATTCAACCTAGAGAGTAGAGAGTCGTAGTGTTAACTTTAGGGTGCTCACGCGATGTTCTATTTTTATCTTATATGAAATTTGACGGTTTATTACTTTTCCCAACTTTTAAAAATTATTAAATATTAGATAAAGTCCCGTGTTATAACTTATGTTGGTTTTTTTTCTCGAATTCTTTCTATGTAAATCGTCTATCGACTATCGTAAATATTCTTGTTTGCACGTGGTGAATTTTAAAAGATAACACACCCCTGTTAGACAATTTGGCAGATATTGTGCAAATACTAATTTTGTCGGCGACCTATTAAGTGAGATGTGCGTAATATAGAGACGTCTTACTAGAATATCGCAAGAAGTGCTGCCGTAGGACCAAAGCTCTGGGAATTGACTTAAATTTAAATTGCCTTATACACACACTGTATGTTTGAATTTATTTTGTTTAAAAAATATCGAAATTACAACAAGCAACAATTACTATAATATATATATGTTATTTACCGGCTGCGAGGTCCGGATGAGAAAAACTGTGCCCGAGGTCTTGAAAACGGCCCGAGCCCGAAGGGCGAGGGACATTCTCAAGACCGAGGGCACAGTTTTTCTCATCCGGACCGACGCTGCCGGTAAATAACGTGTTTATTTTTTATCAGATGTAAAAATTAAAATTCCAGTGTTGCTTGCGAACTAATTTGAGATCAGTGTAGTTGTGTATTTTCAAAGCGAGGCTGACATGCCTGACAAATTAAAATTGAAAAGTTGAAAGATATAAAACACGAATACGAAAACTCGAGAAAACTGGCAAGAAACACACAAAAAGACGTATAGTTTCAGTAGAAATGTACATGCTTTTTTCATAAATATGATAGCGGAGAAGCTTTGGAATAAAAACTTTTATGCCCGGCGTTTTGGCTTTGGCTTTGACAAAATCAGTTGCTCCTGAGTCCTGACAACGACCGGTTTATGTTCAGTACCGATCAAAAACATATAAAAATGAATCTGTTTTGATTTAATCATCGTTTTTCTACTAAAAGGACAATGGGAAAGGTATGTTGTTTTTATATTTTTGTATTTTTTTCTTCTCGTCTCAGGATAATATGCTTGAAAAAAGTGTTTTTTAACACAAACTTTTACTTTGTTTACAATATTTATATCAGTGAAAAATGCATGACACAAATGGGTAGAGAATATATTCGTGACTTGTTTTTACTGCTGCAGTTAAACCTTCTTTTAAATGGGAAAACATATTATTTTACAATTTCTGTTTACGCTGTAATTTTTTCGCTTTTAAGTGGTCGAAAACATGAGCATTTAAAAAAAATATGTAGTTTTCTCGACGTATTAAGTTTTATT